CAAACTGCGTAATTCCTTAGGCACTAGACCCTTTTCAATCACATGAAAAAGTATTTGTGTAAGAAAAGTGCATCATATAGCCACTGGAATGATGATTAAGAGGATTACCAGGAAATGCATAAAATACATTAAGTGAAATGAAGGATGCATAGAGCAGGTATGATAAATTTCAACTGTGTGAAAATGTGTAGGAAGAAAAGAAAACAAAGGTATTAAGGTATCAACAGTGGCAGCATTGTAGATATATATTTTCTTTGATCTGTAACAATACAATGTAAAAACACCTGCCCACAACAACAAAATAATAATTTGGCAGCAGGTTTTAAAGAGGCAGAGGGGGCAGGAGTGCTGCACGCAGGTTTGTGAGTGAAGGGGAGGAGGAGAGAGGGAGGGAAAGAGAGGGAGACAGAGACACAGAAACAGAAAGGAATAGAGAAGGAAGGAGAGGAAAGGGCAGAAAAGTGCAGAAATGAGGGAGTGAGAAGGCAGGGAGAAAAGGAAGGGGGAAGAGGTTGGGGGTAGGCTTAGCTACTGGATTAGAAATTGCCTGAAAACACTAAGGAATTTAAAAATTAACTGAATTATGAACCAAAGAAAAGAGAAGTACTTAACTTTCTTTGTTAACTTTAGGTGATTCTTTCTACTTTTTTTCTAATTGGTCATTTCAGTTCATTTCTAGCAATCCTATGCTTCCCTGTAAGGCAAAAGATGACAATAATATTCTATATGTCATTTTAGCTGATACATAGTGTTGTGCTCTCTACTAAATTTGGTCTCCCACCAGGGTACCCCTAAGGACAAATGACAATGTGGCAACAATTCGATTTAATCTGGGAACACTTAGTTTTAGTGCTTGCAATTTCCCATCAGCGAGCATGTTGATCAGTAAATCCCCAAATTCCTTACCAAAAGACCCCACCATAAACCACATAAACCAGAATCTGCGTTAGTTTATAAAATGTTTGGTTTGCATACAAGGCAATCATGAGTGGCAGTGTATTATGCAGTCAGTATATCGTTAAAACGCTGAAATCAGAACTTGTGGTCTGGATTATAGCTCTTTCATTTATTAGCTCTGTAATCCCATTGAAGTTACTTAATGTGTCTTTGTTCCTTTCTCCACATCTGTGAAGCTAAGCACACATAATAATCACACCTGCCTCACAGATTTGCTATGAGAATAGTAGAAGTAACCCATGAAGCACCTAGTATAACATCTGGCACAAAGTGAAATGTGAACAGCTGTATTTGCTATGAGGGAAAAGGGCCTTATATACTCAAACAAACAAATTTAAAATGTATATGTATGTATGTTTATGTATAAAGAGGGAGGAGGGGCAATTGATTAAAGACAAAATATAAAAATACAGAAATGTTGAAATACAGAAGTCAACGATAAGCTTATCATAATAGTTCTGCAAATTTTCAAAGATATTATTCACCAGATTTCAAGATTACAATTATCTGTCCCATATTCTTCTATGGCAAATTCAACTATCCCAGATTCAAATCAAAATGCCCCTAGTACTTCAAAACTAGTTTAGAAACAGAAAATGCAAGCAAATTTCTATCTAATATGGCTTCTAATTTTGGGGGTCTAACATTTAATGAGTGTGGTTCTAAGTACTTTATGTGGATCAATCCAATGTTCACAAGAACTCTATCAGAGGATGTGCTGTTATAACCATCCCTATTTCACAGTTGAACAAACAAGGTGCAGGGAGATTAGAAAGCTATTCACTGTGAGAGGTGACATTTGATCCCAAGAAGACTTACTTCTGAGCCTGGTATATTATAATCATTATAATATTCACCTAATAGAATTATTATTTATTTGTACCTCATAATGTAAGAATTTCAAATACTAGGTCAGAAAATTTAGTGTGGTTCTTCTTTTACTATGTGACATACAGATGGAATTTAAACCACGTATTAATGGATACTTATTTTCGAATCCAAACATGATATATAATTTTACTTGGTCAACAAAATATTTTCCTACACAATTAATTTAAAATGATTAGAATAGCGTGATACACTCTATTCTAATAATAAAATTTGACTTCCAAAATGTCAAAATTAGTCTTTCTATATTATGAAATAATGATTACATTTCTATCACTGTTGTACAAGATTAATAATACACTTATATAACATTTAAAATAACTCATTAATTGTGTAACATGCAAAATGATGAAAAAATAAAATTAACTTCTGAAGGGTTTGCAAAAATGTATATTACTACAAAAGAAGTTTCTAGGGAAAAAGAATCATTAATGTCTCTGTTCTAAAATATAATGATTCCATACACGTAAATGTCAGTTCAGCTGCCTTATAAGATTTATGAATGAATTCAATACATGGGTGGATTTTAGAAATGTGAGATACAAATATTGATTTCATTCTCATGATGTATTATCTCATATTTATACTTCTTCTTTTTTTACTCACATATAAGCTTTCTACATTTTCATCCTTATAGAAGTATAGCCAGGGCGAACAGGGAAGATTCCTTTAATAAAACACTTACACCTGAAACTAACACAACACTGTTAATAAAAATAATAAATAAATAAATAAAATAAATAAATAAAACAGAAACCTCCCCCCAAAACAAACAAACAAAAACACTTAGTCTTTAAGTATGTCCAAGGAATGACTGAATTTTTAAACTGGCTTTAGTAAGTCCACTTGACATTTTTTTTCATATGCTGCATACACATCCATTTGTCTCTGTTTTGCAAAGCTGTTTCCTTCTTTGGTCCATGGCCTTTTATTATAAGCAAGTTATTTCAACTTGAGTTACAAGGACTTTTTTTAGAGTGGTATTATTTGAATGTTTTTTATACCCTTTTCTTTGCACATTTTCACTTATGATCAGGATTCAGAAATAATATAATCGGTTGCTGAGCACAGATGGGAAGCTTCCCATTACAGTGTTCATTTGCAGGCAGATCAAAACCCAAATTGTGAGGACTGTTGAAACTAAGTTTCTGGATTTTCAGGAAATGGTCATTTTTCAGTTTTGCTTTGAACCTTGGCTCTAAACCGAAGACCTCAACATGTTAGTAAACAAAGATAGTCCTGGTTATTCACAAAAAGAGCACAATGGATACAGGATAACATTCGGCCTTGGTGACAGATGACAGTTGATGTTTTCCTTGTGTGATTTAGAAACAGAAACTGAAGTCTACTTGATGTCTTTTTTCAGCTCCTTCTTGGAGCAAAAAGCGTTCCTGGAAGATCTGAGATTGTGTCTATAAAGTTTATCAGTAAACCAATCACATAAAGATGGGGAGAGTCTACCAAATTTTATCACATAGACTACAGCTTAAAAGGACTTTTTATTTTAGCATCACAGAGTGTTCTCAATCAATAAATTTGTTACAGCATAAAAATACTTCACCTTTAAAAATATGTCTTAGGAATCAGTCCAAAAGGAAATTCTTTATGAGTCAGTTATTTTTCCTGGCAAGTATCATTATAACTTGTCTTGCTTTAGTCCTCCCTAGAGGTCAGGCAGAGAGAAACTGACTTTAGTCCAATCATTGGACTAAATGTGTTTGGTGGATGCACAGATTACAGGACCGCGAGGGATGCAGGAACTGGCCACCAGCCATGGAGCTGTGCTTCTTGGGGCTCTGAACCCTAGTCTAGGAGAGGATGACCCGTCCTTGTCTGGTAGAAGCTTGTTCATGTATCCCCGTTTATAAGTTCTGCAGATCCTCGAGGCTGGTGAGATTTCCACATTATCGTGAGCTTTGTGGTAGAAAGCTGAAGTGACCTCTGCTCCATTGTCACTTTGGAAAATACATGGGGCACCTAGAAAGCAGAAAAAATACTATCTGGTATGTAACCTTAGTTACAGTTAGAAGACAGGGATCTCAGTGCACAACTAATGATCAAGGCCACATATACATTTGTAACATTCACTACAAACTCTGAATCTGACCTCCTTGCAAGATAACCAATCTACGGGTCTGATATTACGGAAGCATTCTTTGTGATTGCTTGGTCACTGTATTCTGACTACTGGTAATTTGGTATTCAAGGAATGAAAAAATAGACGAAAACTGATATTCAGTTTCTCTGAATATCTCCAGCCCTGGCTATTTTTTGTGGAAATGAAGCTTTCTTAAAATGTTCACTTATACTTATAATGAAGTCTGCATGTTTATTTGCTCGTTTCAAAAGTCTAAGGGGAAAATTGTATTTGTAAAGTCATAGATAGTACTTATACTCATATACTGTGTAAAAATACCACACATACACGTAGCTGTCAATCTTTGTCACTCTATACATTAGTCTGGAAATCGTGAGCAAGACTTTGAAATCATTGATTCTTCTTTTAACTTAATTATGAAAGGTCTAATTGGGAAATCTCTTAAGTCAAATCTTAAAGGATTTGTCACTTTGGAAAACAGATGGGACACCTAGCAAAAGGTTTCATCCCTTATTTGAAAACCACCTTTTATTTTTACCAAATCACCAATTTCATAGAACTTACATATTATACTAAAGATGAGAAAATGTGCCTTTATTGTAAAGAAGTACGTATGTTCATTTTTAGAAAATAGACAGCTTTCAAGAAAATTTCACTAAATGCATTCTGGATGCTAAAGGATACCTACTAAAAGAAATGGTTCTAGAAAATAAATGCAAATCCGAAAATATTTTATTCTGAGTGTCTAATAGCAATCCAATATTTTATTCGGGCAAGCCAGGAGAGTAAAATTCTAATGGAACAGCAAAATACAAGCATGATAAAATTGTGCTCTTCTGTGGCCTTTTCTTTGGAGGCATATAGATCACAAAAAACCTGGGCAAATCCTCAGAACTAGAACGACTCTTGGTGGTAACAAGTGAGGATTGAGGGGTATGGAAAGCTCACAAGGATGTCAGTGGCTTTTGCTATAATTCAGAGCAGCCCAAAGACTAACACATACAAGTCTAAATATTTTAAACCAGGCTTTTTTCACCCTTTCTTTCTTTTGTCACAGGATTACAGAGTGAATATCTTTCTTCGTCAGAAATGGAACGATCCTCGACTTGCATATAGTGAATATCCTGATGACTCCTTAGACCTAGACCCTTCCATGTTGGACTCCATTTGGAAACCTGATTTGTTCTTTGCCAATGAAAAGGGAGCCAACTTTCATGAAGTTACTACAGACAACAAATTGTTAAGAATTTTCAAGAATGGGAATGTTCTTTATTCAATAAGGTGAGCCATAGGCTTAAATCCCTGATTTCAGTGAAACAGAGCAGCAGGTTTTTTTTAGTTTTTAGTGAGTGTTTTAAAATTTTTGAGTAAGTGCTTTCATTGTTCCACTTAAGTTCCCACTATACCATTTCCCAAATATATTTAATCAACAATAAGACACCAAGTTCCAGATCCAAGAACTATATGAGTAACTCTTGGAAATCCACTTGTTTAACAAATGGCCCAGGTTCTTACATCAGCCAAGTTAGTGGGTGGTTTAAAGGCAAATTGAACGTAGCCTGAATCATATGTTGTGATTGTATTTTTATGTATGCATACTTCCTTTAAATATTTATACGTGAAGAAATATTTAAGTTTTCTTGTCTGGGATTCATTTCCCATAAATTATTTATCAGGTGTATGTATTTTTTAAGATGTCCTTGAGCTTCTGTGGTCATCCTTTAGAAAAAGATCTTATTTACATTTTAGTTATTTATTATACATTTCTCAGAAGACCATGTAGCCTTTTAAAGCTAATATCAAAACATAACAATAATACCAAAATATAAATACAAAAAATAACATTTCTTGACAGTTGAACTTTAGAACTCATTTAGCTTTGGCTGTTCATTTAATAGCAAACAGGTATAGATTCAGTAAATAGCTACACTAATCTACTTGATGACTTGTGTGCCATCTGAAAACTATTCTAAACATTCTAAAATAAAATGGTTATCTTAAATTTTCCATAATTATTTTTATCACTTAGTTCAATTTAAAAAAAAAACAGGAAGTTAGGACGAGAATTCATGTCATATTTCTTAGAGGAGACAATATGCTCTATTTATTGTAATAGGCAACTGCTTCAAAAATATTTGTATCATCGGTAACATGTTTTAAAGGTATCAAGGTAAACTTAATATTGGAGCTGTAGCCTGAATATTAATTCCTTAGATTTTACCTCTCTATTTTCCCTTTTGTTAACTTTTCTTCTCATCAGGAATGGGTATATTTGATTTTGAGTTCATCTGTTCAATATCAGGGATGGTTGCTATTTTTGCCAGGTAATAGTATAAAATAGAAATAACAGGAATGAAAATTTAATCTTAGTAGCTTAGTGATTTTGAAAACATTTTTCTACAAAGTGGTTTTGTAAATAATGCTAATATCTCTATCCCAGTATATTATATCTGTTTTGCATATTTTTCTATTCCATGTGAACAAATTTCCTTTCAATACATTTATCATTTCCTAAGAATGACAAGGTGACATCACTCTATTGTGAATTGACACTTTCATCAGATTTCTGAAAACTAGCTAATATGTGTTAATATAATCCTGAATCATTAATTGTTGCATAATACATAAAGGAAGATTTCAGGTCTCATTCACTAATTAAGCCCTGTGCTCCCATATGAATGAATAGCTTAGTGGTGAATCCTAGGTCTAAGCAAGAGAATTTTGAACCTTTTTGGAAAATTACTAAAAAGCATAAGTATAAAAAGATAGTGGGAAGATGGAGCAGATATAGTTTTCCCTAGTTCTTCTGCCAAGTACAACTGAAAACCCTAGACACAATGTCTATCACAAACTTGGGGAGACTCCCAATGGTAGTCATAATAACATTGACTGAGTAAGGACCTTGGAACCCAAGAAACAACATGGAAGTGAATTCGTGGGATAATTTTTTCTTTATAAATCTTAGACTGGGATATGAACTGGACTTCTACCTCTACCTGGAAGGAATAAGGTAGCACCCACACCCCCTTGCCCTGACAGAGCAGTGTCAGAGAAAACCAGTGCAAACAGAAAGTTTAAATAAGATCCAGAGTCTCATAAAATATTATAAACATGTCTAGGCTTCAACCAAATATCATTCACCATACAAAGAACCAGAAAGTCCTGAAACTGAATGAAAAAAGAAATCAACAGATGCCAACAACAAGATGATGAGGTTGTTAAAATTATCAACAGACGTTAAAATGGCCATGACAAAAATTATTCAGTGAACACTTACAAATATGCTTGAAAGCAATAAAAAAATAGAAAGCCTCAGCAAAGAAATAGAAGGTATAAAGTGGAACCAAATAAAAATTTTAGGACTGAAAAATACAATAATTAAAATAAAAACCTAGTGGATGGGCTCAGTAGAAAAATGGAGAGGACAAAGATTCAGTGAACTCTAAGAATAGTAAAAAAATTACCCACTCTGAACAACAGAGAAATGATAGATTGGGGACCAGGGGAGGACAGAGCCTCAGGGACCTCTGGCAGTATAACAAAAGTCTAACAATCAGATGGAGAGGGAGAATAGGGTATAGAGCTACAAAAAATACTAGAGGAATTAATGACTGAAACTTGCATATACATTTTGCAAAAGGCATAAACCTGCAGATTCAAGATATTGAATTAAATCCCAAAGATATTCATACCAAGTCACATCATACACAAACTTCTGAAAACTAAATAAAAATCCTGAAAACATCCAGAGAATAACAACAGCTTATCTATAGGGGAAAAATAATTGAAATGAAAAAAAATTTCTCATCAGAAATGACAAAAACCAGAAAGAAGTGACACATATTTTTCAAGTGCTGAAAGAAAGGAATTGTCATCCTAGAATCTTGTGCCCAGTGAAAATATCCTTCAGGAATGAAGGGGAAATTGAGACCTTGGATAAAGGAAAACTAAGAGAATTTGTTACTAGTAGAACTCCCCTGAAAGTATAGCTAAAGGAAGTTTTCTAAACAGAAAGGAAATAATAAAAGAAGAAACGTTGGAACGTCAAGAAGGAAGAAAGGAAACTGTCTTCAGAAATATGAGCAAATATAATAGATTTTTCTTCTCCTCTTAAGTTTTCTAAATTATATTTGACAGTTGAAGCAAAAATTATAACATTGATGTAAGGGAAAATGAAAAATAAATAATAAAACATTTTTTATAAACATTGGCAGAAATTAACAAGATGTAATAGTCAGCATTGTCTAATACCCTTTTGTAGGCATATGACTTGAAATTAACTGTTGGGGAAGATGATTTCTTAGTATATATAAAAATATAAAATACACTTATCCTTCACCTCAACAATTCTGCTTCTAGGAATTTACATTACTTATGTGTTCACGTGTACACAAGACACATTTACAAAGATGCCCGCTGCACCACTGAAATAGCAACAAAAGAAAAGACCCTATATATTCACAAATGAGAACAAGACAGAACACAATGATAGCCCAACATCAAGAAGTACCCTGCATGAGATAGACCTAAATGTATTCATAAGAAAAAGCCTCCAAAATATCTTTAAGGTTAGAAATGTTTCATGCTTATTTTTGTTTAAAACATTCTATATATTTAAGCCTAAAAGTGTATGGAAAGATACACGTATATCTAATTCCATACAAGAAGTGCAGAAGGATGCCCACAATTGGTTAAGAATAACCAGTTATGGAAATGAGCTGTAAAACTTGGGTAGAAATAAAGATGAACTATAGATTTCACTATATGTAAGTTAATATTGTTTGACTTTTTCAGTAAGAGTTATATATTACTTATGAATTAAATACATATGTTTTAAGCGACAGAGGCTTTTAACGTGAAGTCACGACCCTTGACTCCTCTGTGATGTGGATTTCTGATGGCTATCAGGGGATCCATGCCAGGTGTAAACAAAGCAAATTTACCTCTTTTCCTGCTAATTTGAAAATTAACTTTGTGAAAGGTATAATTTATTTTTAATTGTAAGGTACCTTTTCATTTCAGACAGATTTTGGGTGTCATAGGTTGCAAGAATATATCACCAGGTAGCATGAAATAATCATTCTGCAAAATAATAATGTCTAGAAGATTTCCATTGATAGAATTGAAATGCAATGTGTGTGTGTATTCTATTGTATCCTATATGATTATGGCTATTTAGTTGTTTATATCAAGTCATTGGACTTGGAAAATGGTGCCATCCATTATGAATTTCCCACATTTCTTCTAATATTTTGAGAAAAGTTATAGAATAATTCAGAACTGCATTTTTCGTCTTTCAGTATGAGTTCAGATGAAACTGATGATGTCTCTTGGCCCCTGGTTTTTGTTTGCTCTATCCTGGCTCACATGATCAAAGACTAAATTCATTTTTTTGTGAGTTGTTTTTGGAAATCTCACAGGACTTTGAAATTTTCAAATGGCAAACAGTTTCTTTGTTAACAAAAGTTGTGCTAGGAAAAAAAAATCTTTTCAGTTTACAAATGGAGCATCTGTGATGTTTCATGAGAGATCTGCTTTCCTGCCTGTTCAAAGAAAGAAGCAAAATATCCTGGCAAACCTGACTTATTGAACTTATCCATTTCTCACTACTTCCTTCTCTTTTTTTTGTACATGTTTATTTCTTCATTTTCTCTGCCTTAAAATTCTTCATATTTCCTAGCACCTTGGTGACAGCATTTTAGCTTAATCTGTGATTACTTGAACTACCATTAGGAGGCCAATTTACTTCAATTGATAATCATCTGGAGACAGTATAATTTGCAATTATACTTTCTGAAATCTCTTTCCTCCTTTTAAAATATTTTTCTAATTATTTTTTTAAATTAATTTTTATTGGAGTATGGTTGCTTTACAATGTTGTGTTCGCCTCCACTGAACAATCAAATGTATCAGCCGTACACATACAGATATCCCCTCCCTTTTGGACTTCCCTCCCTAGTGCACCTAGTGCACTAGGTGAGTTCCCTGTGCCATGCAGTGTATTCTTGTCAGTTGTCCATTTTATACATAGTATCAATAATGGATATGTGTCAATCCCAGTCTCCCAACTCCTCCCACCCCACCCCTTTCCCCCTTGGTATCCATACATTTGTTCTCTGCGTCTGTGTCTCTATTTCTGCTTTGCAACTAAGATCATCTGTGCCATTTTTCTAGATTCCACATATATGCATTAATATACGATATTTGCTTTTCTCTTTCTGACTTACTTCACTCTGTATGACACTCTCTATGTCCATCCACATCTCTACAAATGACCCAAT